ATACGCTTGGATAATTGAATGCGTCCCCTCTTGTCCCTCGAAGACTTAAGTTCAACTTCCAGACTTATTTGTAAAAACAATGCTACTCACTGTTTTTCAATACTATGTTAATAGTGGTAATGTGTTATATGTGCATGGGCATGTGTGTGACTCACCAGCGTGCAATCAATAGGGTTTTCAAAGGCATTGCCTATTGCCCTCACCAAATAAACTGAAGTAAGATATATCTGGCTACAGTTTCATACTCACTGTAACAATAATATGGTTTACTTTACATTAATAGGGTCCTCAACGGCATCCCCTGCCCGTAACCCTTCAAATATACCTGTACATATAAGTCGAGCCGAAACTCTATATAAGATCTGCAGATTTCTTATTTGCCCATGTCTGAATGAAGCACTTTATTTCTTATTTAATACATGCCTTGTCATTCACTTAACCACGGCTTAAGTCATGCGATGCATGCACTGTTTTCGAGATAGGAAATCTGCACTGCATTTTTACGCACGCACATCAATCTTTCTACATCAAGCCGTATATGTGGGTGGCCCAACTACATCTATAGTAGGCTTCACTGGATATGATGTAAATAGCAGCTATAGTTGCCGGTCAAGTGAACTTTCGTACTTAGTTCTCATTGTCTGTCAGAAGCCCGATGTCTGGGTAAATGTCATAAGGTCGTTGTACATTAGCTGGAAAAATACAGTTTTGTGTGAACTGCTGCTGTAGTAAAAAGCCGTAGAATGCGATATGATAGTTCAGTGGGTGTAGAAACAAAGTAAGTCTGTAGGAGCCTGCCCCACCACCGCTGCAATGAGCACTCATCTGCTTGCTCTGTCAACATGTCAGCCAATCAGCTTATCGATTTTGCGCATCTCTGACTCGTCTCGTCAATTCAAATAATTAGTTAATCGATTTTTTGATAACTGGTATGCTCCGCATTTGTCGTCAGCGCTGGGAGAGACACACTTCAACACTGAGACCTGGTGAACGGACGCAGCAAGCTATTGGCTCCCAATTCAGCTTGTACAATTCCTTCTTGTTACAGTAAAGAAGATGTCCTATCAACTCTGTCTTGCCTGTCTTGATTTGGGGAAGTCTTCTGTGGTCGACACTTTAACTTGCGACAAGTCCATGGACGGGTTTAAGCACATCAGACATTGAACGGACCGGTCCATCAAAAGAGCTTGGTAACCGTCTTGCCTTCGTTTGCATTCACATACTCTTGTTTCGTAACAAAATATATGAAGGCTTGTTCAACGTGCATGTATAATTCATATGCGTTTAGATATTTGCTTCAAACAAAAGTAAATTTGCAGACTAAGTTCTAGGAGAAGGCGAATAAACACTTGCCTAAACTAAACGCCCTCAGACTTGGAATTTATTGTGCTCGGCAACAATGTTAGATCCAGGGCAAGATTAGGGCTATAGTAAGGGCAATGTCATCAGATACATAGAGTCTCTGAAACTGCTATCACCTACGCAGGGAACATTACCTTATCTTGAAAGAGCAGACTGCGTTATCGCCAGTTTTGTATAAAATATATGGTAGATGATATTTCTTCAACATTATTTTTTAAGATCGACAAAAGGAACTATACGCTTCAGCCATCATGCTGTACGAGTGTAAGCTGCATATAGTTTTCAGTCACAAAATAAATACAAAAAGTTGGGGGCTGAAGGTTTGAAATAAAGAGCATTGAGAAGCTTGGATCACGCGATTTTCTAGTCCTAGATTTGATTGCACGCGGCTTACGCCGAATATGTCAGAAAGTCTGCTGCAGACACGTGGTAGTGTGTAGACGAAGAGAACTCGCATCCAAATATATATACAGATGTGCGGGACTAGGATGTTTATCCGATTTATTAGATAAGGGAACACATAGTAAGGCTAAAAACTAATCAACTTTCGTGAAGACATTAGACTTGCTACTCAAGCACATGTTGTGTGCCGTTACTTTTACCTACTGAGTGGATTTAATCCCGAGAAAGCGTTTAGGTTACGAAAATCACCCTTCTGGTTAGGTTCATTAAATAATAATAATAAAGCACATATTCAGCGCCGTCTATGCTTAATTCCGGTTGGTGATCGTCGCCAACAACCATAACGAAACATGTATAATATAATATGTTTATTATGCCAGTTTAGAGGCAATTATAAAGAGTTGGTAATGCACCTCTTGGGCGCCTTCCAAAACCTC